GGATCAAACGCCATTTATGGCGTTTGAGGTAATTTGTGAATTAGCATAGACTTATAGTCTAAATAAAACAATCTGCAACTGTTACTGTTATTACACTTGTATACAAAAATTATGCTTGTTATAGAGTGTGTGGCATCACGTGCACTACTGCCGGTGTCAATAGACAACGGGTGACGTGGTTGTCACGGCAACCGTCACAGCCCTACTGTGCAATGATGTAGTTTCCTGACATCCAGACTGAACAGCGTTTTCTCGACATGTTTCCATGTTGTTGTTGCTCAGCAATGGCATGGACGCGATGTTGTCTGGGGGTTTGCAAAAGGAGAGTGGGGCGGTGGGCGGTGGGTGGTGCTTGGGGTGGTGACTGAAGGCGGTGACTGAGTAGTTCTGACGTCACCTTTTTACGGAAGTCACAATGGTTCGTGAAAAATCACAGCTACTTTATGCAGGTTGTGTGCATTTGACTGTGGATTGACCGTTTCGAAACTTATATGGTAGTTACATAGCACCTAGACCTCAGTTATCATGAAAAGAGCCAGGAAATTTCAGTTTTGGCAATATGGGACCTTTAATGATTTGAAGAACCTGCTAACACACATTGCACACATTATATATATATTATATATCATATATATTCTATCATGATTTCAGTTTTATTTCAATTAATTGTGCAAACCCATTTCTTTATCTTAATTTTACATTTGATTTAATTCATTATTAGCTATCAGCTATCAAACCACAGTATTCAATTGGTGGATACTGCAGGCAAAATTCCAATAAACTTAACATTTACAGAAGGATCTGAGCTCAAGACCAGATTAGCCTGGATACTTAATGGCAAACTAAGAACATGTTAGCAACCGCCTAGCAACAACCTTGCAACCTCATTATTTTAGTCTTGTTTTCCAGGACAAATAAAGAATCTTGAAAAAGCATCTTGTTTATCCTTTGAATTAGGTTTATTTTTCGGACCCAGTTGGCAGATATTTTTCTTCTTGTTTTAAGCATAAACACTTGTTTTGATGTTTTTTTTTTCTTCAAAAATTTTTTCTAAGAGGTAAGTTCCTGTAAGAGGGGTCCCAGTCCGCCTTAAGGTCAAGACCCATTCTTGTTAAACATTATAGTCTACATTTGATCCAGGATTAAGTGGTGCCATTACATTTGGAGCTTACAAAACAGTATTGACCAGTATTTGTAATTTTCAAGCAGACTTAAGTCATTTTGCTTCTTAAGTAAATCTTATTTTAAGAATATTAAGATACTTGAGCTGGAAATATATATATATTTTTTTGCAGAATGCACCAATCATATTCACAAATAAAAACCTATTTTGTGTCTAGCTAGCTTGTTGCTTCTAGTTCCAAACACATGTCAGCCTCTTAAATACTACATCACACCACACATAAGTCACAGTCTGCATCTTTAAGAGAGCACATGGCTCACACAATGGGATGTTTGGACCAACTGAATGAAATATTATCCATGAAATCACAGTTGGTTCAAGCAATGTGATTTTAATCTTCTGTAATGACAACCATAGTGCAGATGCAATGTTGTATGCACTTTCAGGTGAAACACACTCGCACACACATATTACATACTCGTATAAAACCCTAGTCTCAGCTTTGACCTATTTCTGAGCCGTACAGTGCAGCTCTATAGATTAACGAGTCTGTCAGAAAGCACATACATTGAGTTCCCCAGTAGAACTCCGCTCTGGGGCTTTACATTTACACACTTCTTCAGGGCAGCTCGTAACAAGCTTATATACTCTAGTTGCTTCTTCTTCTGACCTAAATAAATGCAAGTAAGAGAGCTAAATGTAAGTGTGTATTTGAGGGTTAAAAGGGTCAACAGTATGAAATAGCGTTCGATTCAAATATGTTAACAAAGGTAACATTGAGAACAATGGCAGCATGCTACATTAGCATTTAACGTGCTGTATTTCAGGGAAAATAAAAGCTAGGCCAGGGCTATTCAATTGGCTTGTGTGAGGGGGTTATGACACATTCACAACTCTAGTTTAAAGGAGTATAAAGGCAGTGTTGTCCGTCATAACTTCTGTCGAGAAATAGTGCAGACACTGGACGAAGATGATTATCGAATGGAATCTGAAAGACTGCGCGTTCGGCTGTATTCTGAGCCGCTTCAGACAGTGTGCCAGTAGCGCTTCAATGGACAAAAACAGAATTATGTCAAAATGCTGGGTTTTGGCGAGTGACCTCGTAAACACAGTCTTAAATGAGTTATAAAGTCTTAAAGGTCCGTAAAGAGTTGGGAGAAAATCAGATGTGTGTCAGATACGCGTCATGTGCATCAGATTTTAAAGTGACAGCGCTGCTTTTAAAGTGAAATCTGATGAAGTCTCATTGAGGTAAATTACAGAAAAAAAAAGAAATCAGTCGCTGATTAAGAGCTAGTCGCTGAAGTTTTGCAGCTTGAATAAAGATTAATTTATGCATATACCATTTCTGGTTTATGTGAAGATTGTTTTAAGTTCACTTAAATTAAAAGTAAAAAATTATATTTTTCAGAACCTACTAAATGTTAAAAATAATGGCTTTCAATTATACTGTAACGTTGAATTGCTATAATTAATGGCTAAAATTGAGGGGGAAATGCGTTTAATAGAGACATCAGTAGCAGTATTGCATTGTTATCAAAAATACTGACCATTGTTAATAATAGGCTACTTAGTAAAAATATGCCATTAAACACATATTTAAAATAAACCATCTTTATATTGTTTCTAAATTAATTTGGAGGTTCAATGTGAAATTATGACAATATAAATATATTAATATGCAGTTTATTACAATTAATTATAGAATATAGTTTTTTTATTATTCTAATCGATTCACAGACAGCACTAATGTTAACCTTTTATAGATGTTGGTGTTGATAATATTAGAAAAACAGAAAACCAATCTTGTTTCCCTTTGAATTAAGTTTATCTTTCTGAACTCATTGCCATTTGTAATGTATAATTTGAATGTAATATATAACATTTTTAATGTTTAATAGTTTAGAATTAATACATACATTTATTTATATGAATGTATTATTCTTTAGAAATATGTGAACCACTGAAAGGCTAAAAATATGCTTTGAAATATTACACATTAATACAAAAACGAATATAAAAGTTTTACTAACTTTATAAAGGATAGATAGATAGATAGATAGATAGATAGATAGATAGATAGATAGATAGATAGATAGATAGATAGATAGATAGATGTATATTTATATAAATATATTACATAAATGTACATTTTCATTTGAAAACATCAGGGATTTTGTTTATTTTTTTATTCCAGGGCTACTAATTTATTGTTCAAAAGTGGAAACCTTGATGTTGCCTTTTAGAAAAAGAAACCATTTAAAACCACTTAAAACTTTATCCACACACCAACAAACAAAAGTTCAATCATTTACCATGCAGCACAACAAGGCATTTTAAACACCACAAGTCTTATCAAGACATCAGCCTAACTGCACTAAAACACATACGGGCTTCCCTTCACAAGCCATAAAGCTTCACAGAACACTCCCCTCCTCCTAGAAAAGGACATTAAATACTATTCAACCTTTTTCCCCATAAAAGAGAGGTTTGATACCTAGAAGGTGCACCTGAGGCCGTTTATGTAACATTGAAGTGCATTACTCTCTCTCTCTCTCTCTCTCAGGAAGTTGGAAGCTAAGAGTCCCCCTGGCGATCCTCTCTTTCATTAGCTAAAGAGAAACCTCTCTCTGCGGGACCTTTCAAAGGCTACTGCAAATGTTAGCTCCCTCGGGACCGCCCCGAGCCGGCCGTTTGCCGCACTGCTGACAATGGCCAAGAGCCCTCATTTGCTTACTGAAGTAAACAAGTTCAGCCGCTTCGTGTGCCTGAACGTTTCTGACAAAGGCAAGCGTAGCAATGCTAACATCTTTTAATTGGTGTTTGCTAAGTTAAGCATCACCTTTGTTGCTAATACTTGGGGTTAGAGATCTGAACAAACCCTTAAACTGATTTATTAAACTTTGATTTGACTTGTCAACACAATTTGTGCTAAGTACATAAATGATACCTCGGATCATGTTGGTTTTTGAAGAAAGGCTTGCTATTACTAGCGATCATACTTAAAGCATAGGCTACTGCATGTTAAAATCTAGTTTCTACATAGTTTACTTAGAATTATATAATGATAACAAATATGATTACAAGCTAATAAAATTAGAAGTGCTTTAATTGAGAAATATTTAGAACTGTTTTGTTTCAGAGACCATCTTGAAATGTATACTGCCACCTATTGATGTGGATGTAGCATCATGCAAAAGCACTACTCTTA